GGTGTCCCAAGAGGTGTCCTTGGGGGGTCCCTGCAGTGTCCCTAGGGGGTCCCTGAGGGGGTCCTTGAGGGTGTCCCTACGGTGTCCCTGGGGGGGTCCCTGGGGGTGTTCCTAGGGGTATCCTTGGGGGGCCCCTGTGGTGTCCCTAGGTGGAACCTGGGGGGTCCCTGGGGGTGTCCCAAGAGGTGTCCTTGGGGGGTCCCTACGGTGTCCTTGGGGTGTCCCTGGGGGTGTCCCAAGAGGTGTCCTTGAGGGTGTCCCTGCGGTGTCCCTGCGGTGTCCCTGCGGGGGTCCCTGGGGGTCCTTTGAGGGTCCCTGGGGGTGTCCTTGGGGTGTCCCTGGGGGGGTCCCAAGAGGGGTCCTTGGGGGGTCCCTGCGGTGTCCCTGTGGGGTCCTCGGGGGTGTCCTTGTGGTGTCCATGGGGGTGTCCCTGCGGTGTCCCTGCGGGGGTCCCTGGGGGTGTCCTTGGGGTGTCCCTGCGGTGTCCCTGTGGTGTCCATGGGGGTGTCCCTGCGGTGTCCCTGCGGGGGTCCCTGGGGGTGTCCCTGCGGTGTCCCTGGGGTGTCCCTGGGGGGTCCTCGGGGTGTCCCCAGGCGGTCACCCACCTCTGCTGTGCGCTTCCCCCCCCCCAGGACGTTCAGTGACGAATCGGCGCTGGGGATTCGCCGCATTCTGTCCCAGTCCACCGACTCCCTCAACGTCCGGAACCGCACGCTGTCCGTGGAGTCCCTCATCGATGAAGGTGGGGAGGGGTGGGGGGGGGACACGGGGATGTGGGGACAGGAGGACTCGGGGACATGGGGACGTGGGGATGGGGACTGGGGACACGGGGATGTGGGATGTGGGGACATGAGGAAACAGGGATGTGGGGACATGGGGATGGGGATTGGGGATATGAGGATTGGGGAGATGGGGATGGAAATTGGGGACATGAGGAAACAGGGATGTGGGGACATGGGGATGGGGATTGGGGATATGAGGATTGGGGACATGGGGATGGAAATTGGGGACATGAGGAAACAGGGATGTGGGGACAGGAGGACTCGGGGACATGGGGACGTGGGGATGGGGACTGGGGACACGGGGATGTGGGATTTGGGGACATGAGGAAACAGGGATGTGGGGACATGGGGATGGGGATTGGGGATATGAGGACTGGGGACATGGGGATGGAAATTGGGGACTTGGGGACACAGGGATGTGGGGACATGGGGATGGGGATTGGGGATATGAG